GGAGTTACAAGTGCCACATGCCTATCTTGTATCTTCGTAATTCTTCATTTTGTTTTTCATGTTCAGTACTCTACTCAGTGAATAGCCAGGATCCATGGGGAAGTCCATGATCTGTGCTGCCCTTGATTATAAAAGGCCAGGAAGCTTCTTTTGCGGTGGTACCAATGAGTACAGACTCACAGTTGGGAGACATAGATGGTTTCTATGACAACCTTCCCCCCCAACTCTTCCCCCACAAAAAAGAGAATCAGCCTAGACAGGAAGCCATTGAAGAGAACTCCTAAAATCTGTGAGAAGGAGGCTGGTGTAGCTCTTCACAGTCCAAGGGTTAGATACCTTTAAGGGGCTGGCCATTGGGAGTTAGACCATGCTCCAGTGAGGAAATGGGCAGCACAAATTGGACTGGGTATTTTTTCCTTTCTTTTCTTTTTCTTCTTTTGTTTTGGGGGAGGTCACAAGGATGAGGGGTAGACCTGAGACGACTGGAAAGTGAGTGTGACCCTGGTGCATTATGTGAAATTTCCAAATAATTAATAAAAACATCCCCCAACCCCCCCCCCAAAAAAAAATCCTAGGTTGCCATACTTCAATTAAGAACAGTTAGCCAGAAGCAAACTCCAGAAGCTGAAAGCAGGGTTAGCACATTTAGAGAATTTCCCAAAACTGTGCACTTTGATTAGGTCTTTATTTTCATTTTGGCAGGTGGTGCTGTCTATGAGCTGGGTTTTATGACCCGAAGGGCCCTTCTGATACAGCTTTATTCACCATAGTTACCCTGCAGTGTGACACCTTCCTGGAAGACCTTCATCAAATGTGCAGACCTGACCATCATCTCCTCCTCTTGCTCCTGTCCCAAACCTGGGCAACCATTATTGTAGTCTCCATTTGCATGAGCCTGGGATTTTTTACTTTACATCTCTTTAAGTGAGATAACATAACATTTATCAGGCTTATTTCAATTGGCATACTGTCTCCATACTTAGCCATAATTTTTCTTTGCATGAAAAAAAAATCTTTCATTGTGTGCACCTCTCATATATGATGGGTAATTTTGTCAACTTGACTACATCTGGAATCAACTCAAGCAGCTAGGCACACCTCCCAACATACCCTCATATTTACCCCACTTCCTTCCCACTCTCCTTCAAATTCATGGTCTCTTCTTCCATTGATTTTCATGACATGCAGATACACACACACACACACACACACACACACACACACACACACACACACACACTGAGCAGGATATACTGCTCAGTCCTTATAATATTACTTGTATGTATGTTTTCAGGGATGACCATTTGACACTGGGCAATGAATTGGTGAGCTGACCACTTCCAGATGAAGGGAAATTTTCCTTGATTGAATCATATGAGATGGGAAGGCTTGCCATAAAAGTGGATCATGTGAGGTAGGAAGACCCACCCTAAATAATGGTGACATCTTCAAATCTTGCCTTTGCTTGTTTCCTGCTTACCCCCCCCCCCACTCTCTGGCAAGTTCATCTATCCTGTTGCTGAGACCTCCCTTCCCTGGTATTAGAGCTGGCTTCTTTAGGACTCCAGCATCCACTGAAGGCATCCAGATTTATGGACTGAAAAGCTAGTGGATTCTTAGACCTTCCATTCATAGGGTAGTCATGGTTGGACTAGCTGGACTGAAGTCTGTAAGTCATTCTGATAAACACCACATACACATACTCATTCTATAAGTTCTGTTACTCCAGAGAACCCTGACTAATACAGCACTTAGAGGATCCTAAATAATCAGACCAGGGGAGATCCTGATGAAATCTTCGTCAGCAGTAAAAGTCCTAGTCTGTCCTGGCAGGGGAACGCACCTACAGGCTACCAGAACGATATCAGAGCCCAGTTTTTTCAGCTGGAGTACCCTTATCCTGCTTCTCCTAGTGTTGCTACCCTGCTGTGGCTGAGTACTACTGAGCCAAGGCAGACAGTCTTCAGGAGGACAGGATGTGTCTGCCCCAAGACAGCACTACCAGAAGTGGCAGACAAGGCAAACAAAGCGAGGAACTCCCTGTGTGGTGTGCGTGGGGGACACCAAGAAAGCTCTCCGGCCACAACTGGCCTCTCTTGGTGCCTACCATCTCTTCATGGCTCAGTCTCTTTGGATAGAGCTTAGCCCAATTTGGAAGAAGAGTGAGTTGGTCTGTATGTGACTGTCTGCACACGAATGATTATGATGATGCATGCGCATATGTGTGTGTGTGTGCAGATTTGCATACAAACACTAGAGGAGAACTGCTGTGCATATCGCTCTATATAAATAAAACACTGATGGCCAGTGACCAGGCAGGAAGTATAAGCGGGACAAGGAGAGAGGAGAATTGGGGAAACAGGAAGAAGGGGGAGGGACACTGCAGCCACCGCCAGGACAAGCAGCATGTAAAGACGCCGGTAAGCCACCAGCCACGTGGCAAGGTATAGATTTATAGAAATGGGTTAATTTAAGATATAAGAACAGTTAGCAAGAAGCCTGCCACGGCCTTACAGTTTATAAGTGATATAAGCGTCTGAGTGATTATTTTATATGTGGATTGTGGGACTGCGGGGCTTGGTGGAACCTGGAGAGAAGCTCTCCAGCAACAGAGAACATCAGGTTTTCTCCTCAATTGCTGTCCACCTGACTGTCTAAAGTCAGGCACGCCATTTTGGTGAGGCCGACTGCCCAAGTAGCTCTCAGGGTTCATCTGTCTCTCTTCCCAGTGTGGGGCTGACATGTGTGTTCAGCCATGCCTGACTTGTTACTCGGGTGCTGTGAAATCAAACGCAGATCTTCAAGCTTACAAAAGAAGTACTCATAACTACTGAGGGAGCTCTCAAGCCCCTTGTATTATTGTTATTTTCTTGCCCAGAACAGCGAGGAAGAAGAGTGAGCCTCAGGCTGGAGAAAGAGCTGGGCTGTGAAGTGCTTTCTTTGCAAGCACAAGGACCTGATTCTGTGTCCCAACCCCATCATAAAATACAAAACATGGAGGCGGGCAATGGTGGCACAAGCCTTTAATTCAAGCACTCAGGAGGCAGAGGCAGGTGGATCTCTCTGAGTTGCAGGACAGCCAGGACTGTTACACAGAGAAATCGTCTCGGAAAAAAAAAATAATAAAGAACAGGCTGTATTGATGGTTATTGATCTAGTGTTTGCTGATGGGATGAAGTTGGATACATTTGTTGAAAATATGCTCTGAAGTATGACTTGCTCATGTTCAAATCAACACTCCCAAAAAACAGCAGGAGAGGCAGGATATGGTTCTTGTTAGTTCATGTGAAGCAGGTCTCAGAGCTGTAACGTCCTTAGTAATTATTAAGCATATTGAGAGGAGCCGCAACGTCCCTGTGTAAATGTCCCTTTCAAATAAGTTTAATTTACTAATGCTAGAAACACTGGACTCCAAGTCATGGAAGAGTAATTCTATTTTGTTTTCTACCATTAACCACATTAGACAGAAGAGGAGACTCTTCCCTAAGAGTCAAGGGTCATGGAAAGGGCAAGGTACTTGTCTTGGACAGGGTTTAAATTGCTGTGAAGAGATACCATGACCATCGGAACGCTACTAAAGAAAACATTGAATTGAGATGGCTCACAGTTTCAGAGGTTCAGTCCATTATCATCATGACCCATAGCATGTGGTGCTGTAGCTGAGAGTTCTACATCTTGATAGTCAGGCAATAGGAAGTCCATTCATAGTCACACTGAGTGAAGCATAAAAAAAGAACCCAAAGCAACCCCCACAGTCACACCTCCTAATAGTGCCATTCCCTTTGGGGGCCATTTTCTTTCAAACCACCATAGTTAGGATAAGACAGTCAATATCCCTCACATCTCAGTGCCCAACAAATCCAAAGTTTATCCCTTTAGCTTTCGCTGATATTTGATTACTCAGGGTGGAGCTGGCCAGAATTCACCTTGATGCAGGGTTATCCCTGAAGGGCTAGAAAGAGGGAGTGAGGTGGATTTTGCATTGGCGTCTAGATTCTGCCTATACAATCATGCAATGCCTGAGCTACACTTTTGCCAAAGCAAACCACACGCCTACATCCATCTCGAGCCTGACCTTACTCTCTTCAGCAGAGGGGAAAGGAGATGTGCGTAAATCCTTCCAAGGATCCAAGCCTCTCTCCTAGACTCTACCCTTCAGAACTGTGAAATGTAGTGAATCTATGGTTTTTCCCAGTAGTTCGCCAGTTCTGAGGACAGAGCTACACTTCTGCCCTCCTGAGTTCTGATTGGGTGTTCTTCAGCCGAGCACAGACCAATAGGAACTCCAAGGATGGAAATAAGCTGTCAGACCCTTGATCCGGATAATGCTAATGGGCGGGGCCTCAACTCAAACTGTATATAAGCAGCAGCGCAACCTGGAAGGCCAGAGCCAAGGCCACAGGTGGAGGAGACAGAAGTCTTACCTCCAGTGCGTTGGTTGCGCTCCTGTGGTCCGGTGTTTTTGAGCAATTGTCTCCCACATTCACTGTGATTTCCACAATTTTGGGATCTGCAGAGGCTCATTGTGTCTTGGAGCCCCCAAGACAAAAGGCAGAGCCTCAACTACAAAGTTTTTGGGTTTCTTTTTGTTTTTTTACACCGGGGCTGTTGAATCGCCACCTTAAAGACAAGTTTAAATTGATTATTCACCAAGAGGGGAGTACCCTTTGATACTGTCCCCTCCATCTGTCTTCATAGTCCAAAGGAGCGTTTTTTATCCTGCGGTAGCTGACCTTGGACCAACATGCCCAGTTTCGATAAAACACCTCCGAGTGGACTAAGTGATCCTTCAGACAACCACCCGAGAGCACCCACCGAGCCTCAGGCCGACCTGCACTTGAACTTGGAAATCAGAAGGCTGCACCACAGCAGACAGAAGACACCTGAGCAAAGGCAATGCAGGTCATCCCTGTGGGTGGCAACCTCGCCGGCAGCGTGAAACAATGAGCCCCGAACACCCCCGGAAAGGGCAAAAGAGGAAACACTAGGAAGAGTGGGGAATGGATGAGCAGACTCAAGAGCCAGCCGAGCCTAGGAGGAGGGTGAAACAGGAACAGGGTGAAATTGAGCTTGAGTGTGAAGAACCCGGCAAGGGTCAGATACGGAAACCCCAGGAAGAGGATCGATCACAGCTAAAGCCCGGAGAGTGCCCTAAAGACTCTCAGGAAGAGGCCCTGACTGAGGTGAAGTCTGAGGATGGTGGGAAGGGTCGCAAACGTTCCTACTGCAACACAGAGGAAGGTGTTCAGGAACATGACAACGAAAAGTACCGAAGGCTGTTGGAAAAGTACCGGGCTGTTGTTCAACCCGGTGATCATGTGAGCTCTGACCCTCACAGTGCTCACACGAGCCCTGTGGACACCTCGAAGAAGATCAAAGGCCGTGTGGAGGGACAGATTCACAGATCGGAACCAACTCACTCTGAGCCAGAGCAATCTGCCTGTGCTGTCACGAGAGAAGGTCAGTCACCAGTGAAGAGTGAGAAGAGGTCTTCAGAGGAGAAAATTTCTAATACAGAAGAGATAGTTGGAACAAACCTCAACAATGACAGTAGGGGACATCACCCCCAGCCCAACTTTCTGGGAGGAGCCCAGGTCCAAATCTTCATAGACAGTGTCAGCAATGACATTCTCAACAATATACCAATACCTAAGGCCAAGGAAAAGGCTCTTGCAGATCAAGAGAAGGGCAGAGGACTGGACCATGGCCCCGATGTCACAGCAGACATGGAAAAGGAAATCAGTAGTGCACTAGGTCCAGGGCCAGAAGATGAGATCTTGAGTGTGAAGAACCCAGCAAGGGTCAGATACAGAAACCCCAGGAAGAGTAATTCAAACTTTGAATTACGTGAGGAGACATCCAGACACTAAGGGAGACCCAGTGGCTCAACGATGAAGCCATCAATTTTCACATGAATCTTCTCATGGAGAGAAACCAAAATCAGGGATACCCATCAGTTCACGCATTTAATACCTTCTTTTACACCAAATTCAAGTGTGGAGGCTACAGGTCAGTCAAAAGATGGACCCAGGCAGTAAACCTCTTTGCAAAGGAACTTATTCTGGTGCCGATTCACCTGGATGTGCACTGGAGCCTGGTAGTAGTAGACCTAAGAATAAAGCATATTGTCTATCTGGATTCGATGGGACAGAAAAGACCAGATGTCCTCAAGATGATTTTTCAGTACCTGCAGGATGAGAGCAAAGCCCGAAGGAATATTGATCTGCACCCTTGGGAGTGGAGGCAATACAGCATGCCAGCAGAGGAGATTCCTCAGCAGCGGAATGGGAGCGATTGTGGAATGTTTACCTGTAAATACGCAGATTATATTTCCAGAGGCCAATCCCTCACCTTCTCTCAGCAGCACATGCCTCTGTTCAGGAAGAAGATGGTGTGGGAAATCCTGCATAAGCGCTTACTGTAGGGGCACCCCCTGGCTGCTCAGACGGTCTGCATTCTTTCATGGACTGTAAGTCTTCACGTACTTCAGACAGGGTGAGTAAGAATGGGTGATGCCCCACTTTCCTCTGTGTAGTGCTAACTTGGAGCAAGGGAGAGCTGCATCTGATGCAATCTATAAATATCTGTACTCCCACAAGTTATAAACTATTTGACCAGCAAAATCAAACATGCTCACAAGCATGCTGCTTTAAAGATTTTATTTGCCACTCAGGTCAATGTTGGATTCGTCATTTTTTTTTTTCATGGCTTATCAATTTTGCTGCTCTTATTCACAAGTTCTACCTAATTGGCAGCAGTTCTTTCCCTGAGCTTTTTAATTCTCAAATGCTTGTTTGAACTATTGGTTTCTGAAAGCAATGCCAATCCGGCTGCCAGTCTGTGCTGTGAATCAGGCTGATTGTCTGTCACTCATGTGGGGCACTGCAGGAGTGTCGAAGGATTGTGAACTGTGACCATGGGACCTGGGACTTGGGCCATCCAGGAGTATCGGCAAAAGTTTCACAGACATTTCAAGACACTTTGCCTGGACTAAGGAGATCTGTTTTATTCTTGGACGCGAAGTGACTGTCATGGCGAATGTGCAGATTACATGCAGGCTGTTGTGAACATAAGACTCACCCTTCTGAGTGCTGTGCTAAACTGTTTATTCATAAAATATTCAATTTGCAGCCATTAAATGTATATTTTGTATATAAGAAGCTGAAATTAAATGTTTTTGTCATTAGTATACACATTCTACCTCTACTATTAAGGTAGACTTAATGGTGTCTAGTGTTGATATTGCAAATGTACAAAAATCTATTTTATATTGAAACTTGGAATCAATTTTTCTGTGAATTGTAAATCTTACATTTGTGTTCATGGAGTTTTGATTGAATAAAGCTGAGTGTTGTCTGAACACACTGTGTGCCTGACGGTCTTTCCATGTGTGACGAGGGCGCCGGAGAGAACTGGGAAGCAGTTACCCAGGGCGGAATCCATCAGTGTGTCTGAGTCTGTTCCCACATCTGTGTGTCAGTGGTTGCTCTCTGCTCTGAGCCCCGGTGTGTAAAGAGAACACTAGTGAGCTCTTCACTCTGTCCTGGGCGTGAGTAGATGGAGCTGCAGCCTTGCACAGCCTCAGTCTAAAGTGAACAGGAGCGCCGATCTCTGGACTCCCAGTGCCTGGCCAGGCAAGTCCATGCATGTGCACACACTCACACACACACACATGACACACATACTCACACACACTCTTACATACACTCACAAACACATACTCTCATACCATCACACACACTCTTACACATAAACACACACTCACACACACACACTGTCCCACACTTACATACACATACACCCTCCTCCTGACACACACAGACTCACACCCTCTCACTGTTACAACCCCCCACTCTTCATGCATACACTCTCACTCACTCACATACACTCACACACACACACACACCTCCACACTCACACAAACTCACACACAACCACATATACACACACTCACCCACACACACTCACATAGTCCCCCACACACTCATATCCACCCATTCACCCACACTCACACACACACACACACTCACATACTCATACCCCGCACACACTGGATATTCACATATACTCACACAGAGACACACACTCTCTCTCACAAACACAAGAGTCATACACACTCACACACACATACAAACAAACATACACACACTAACACTCTCATACACACACACTGTCATACACACTCACACCCTCAAATGCACACATTCATACACATACTCAAACACACTCACACAAAACTCACACACACACACTCATACACACACTCAAACACTCTCATACATACCCACCCACACACTCATGCACACTCACTCACACAGTCATACAGTCTCACTAACACTCACACACATACCCCCACACACTCACATAGTCACACATACTCATATATACACACACTCACACACATACTCATACACACCTACATGAACATACACATACTAAGTATGTTTTAAATGGAAGAGAAAAGGCAAAGATCGTCCATGCCACCCAGTGGTTACTTTACGCACAGAATCTCATGCGAACCCAGAAGCTGAGGCATCTGGCTGTTGTCTTGCTTGGAAGTGAGTACTGTGACAATGACTGGATTATGCGGTTCCTCAGAAGAAACGGAGGCTCTGTGGACCTGCTCTTCCTAACCTACGACAGCCCCTGGATTAACAGTGTGGACGTTCTCCAGTGGCCTTTAGGTGTAGCAACGTAAGTACGAGGTAAATTTGTGCATCCCTAGACCCCAAGGTCTGATGCTCTGAATCAGGAACAGGGTGTTTTAAATGGTTCTGGGCTTACAGAGGATGAGGCCAGGGGCCAAAAGAGTGTGGCCTTGTGCCTCTGTGAAAATAGTGATGTTTTCACATGTCACTTTTTGAGTTTTCTTGGGTGCTTTATGAAAAGAGTTGATCTAGTTAAATGTCATTAATAGGCTTGGATTTTCCTTTTATAATGGGATCATGTGGATGTTTTAAAAAAATCAGAGATTTAAAAATGAAGAAGGCCGGGCGGTGGTGGCACACGCCTTTAATCCCAGCACTCGGGAGGCAGAGGCAGGAGGATCTCTGTGAGTTCAAGGCCAGCCTGGTCTCCAAAGCGAGTTCCAGGAAAGGTGCAAAGCTACACAGAGAAACCCTGTCTCGAAAAACCAAAATAAATAAATAAATAAATAAATAAATAAATAAATAAATAAAAATGAAGAGCCTTTCAAGTAAGTTATTACTTTTACTTATTATTTTTAAATATGTTGAAATAGAATTATGTCACTTTCCCTTCCCTTTCCTCCCTCCAGCACCCCAGCTACCCACCTTTGAATCCCTCCTCTGTACTCCCCTAACTGATAGCTTCTTTTTTATTATTGTTACATACAATCTATGTGTGTATGTGTATGCATAAATATGTATAAATACAACAAAAACTGAGCTTTTTTTAGAGTATTTTACTCTTTCCCAAGGAGAACTGAAAAGTGTCTTTTGTTGTTGATTTTTAGGAAAGATGTAGTATAGATTATCAAGGTTATTAAGATCTTCCTGAAGAGAGGCTTAAACAAAAATGAGCCAAAAATCTGTGTAGTTTATAGGAATGAGTACTTTTTTCTTCATTTTAAAAATGTTTTTTGGTGGGAGTCCACAAAGGTTTCCTAGTGAGATCTGAGCTTGCTTTACCCAGCAGGGCTGCATTAGAGGATGGCTGGACCACGTGCATGGTCACCAGGTGTTTGGGATGGTCTACACTTAGCTGTGCTGGGGGGGAGGTCTTTCACCCCACCCCTTGGCATTCCTTTTAAAAAGCCCTTTAGTAGAGACAGAAGGGGCCGGTGGGTTTGGACTCAGGCCCTCCCGAGGCTGTCCTGTGTTTCTGTCTCTCCCCTCTATCCTTCTATCTACACATTCCTCATTGATCCCTGCTCAAGAGTACCCTGGGGGAATAAGAGGGAGCCGGTCTCCCTCAGTTTTTAATTGAAATAGAACTACACCATCATTCCCCGCCTTCTCCTCTCCCACGAAGGGTAAAAGGGCCAGCCAAAGAAACACACCCTGACCCTGAAACCAGAGCCAAAGAAACACACCCTGCCCCTGACCAACTCAGCACAAAACCAACCAGTCCCTGAGCATAAAAACCAACCCCTGAGCATGAAATCCAGCCAATAGCTGAGCGTTTCCAAGTCCAGGGACTGAAATCTGACCAATTCCCACCCTGAAAAATCTTCACCGCGGAAAGGCTCCGCCCCTAAGAAACCCTCTCTATGCCCTGTACCTGTTCAGTTTGAAGCTGTCTTTTTCTACCCTGGCAGAGGCAGCCGTTCTCCTGGATTCCTCACTTCTGATAAATCTCTGGAATGAAGTTTGGGGTAACGACTTCGCTGGCGTGGAGCAAAGCAGAGAGGTAACAAGTTTAGCTGGAGCAGGAGCAGAACTGCTACATTTCTGACCCGGAAACTCCCTTGGCAGAGCAGAGCTACAATGGCTCTCCCCAGAGAGCAGGAGAAGAGCTACATTCCTGAGGGAAAACCACCCCCCACCAGTAAGGTATTGCCTGGCTTGGGACAGCCAGGATACTTTTCCCTCCAGAGCTGGTACACTTACCCCCCAGCCCCTCCCCGCTACCCTCTCTTGAACCTCTAGAGATACCACACTATATCCTCAGGCGTGAAGCTGTGATGAACTTATGCAAATCTCATCTATAAAAGGAAAAATTAATTGGACGGTAGTTAAGTTTCCTCCATATCTAATCCTTCTCCTCCTATTGAACGAGAATTTTTTTTCTTTTTCACCTTTCTGACCATAGGTTTTGAAAGAACACTAAGTAGCCTTTACAATAAGCCGCCACTAACCCGGAGATTTGTGTCTCATTTCTTCCCTGCTCTAAAAAAGTGCTTCATGGGGTGACAATAAATACTTGGTGAGTAAATGAAGTGCCTCCCTGGTAGAGCCTTTGAATTAGGCATTCATTGTCATTTCACTGGTTACCACGATGTACAGCCTTAGCCCAGTGAGTTGCACGGATGTCCCCAGATACCACACTAAGGACACCTATTCACACCTCTGCTTGTACAGAGATCCCATTGAGTAGGTTTGAGATAGATCTGGTCTTGGACGTTGTAAAGTAGATTCATGCTTAAAACCTTCTGATAAATCTATTCCATGAGAAGAGCCTGTATTTGTAAAACGTCTTGAAATATTTTACTTTTTCACAGAATATTGCTTCATTCATTTATATAGAAGATAAGAACATGAAAATTTTGGTGTTTTCTAAGTCCAGTTGTGAGATTAGTAGTTCTCTCTCAGCACAAGCTCAGAAGGCATTTGATAACGACTAGACTATTATTGGTTAGGACAACCTCAGGGAGTTGTCACACTGGCCTCTACTGGACAGAGCACAGGGATGTCGTTACATACTCCACGGTGTGCATGCCAACTTCTACAACAGAGCTTTACT